ATACAAATCCATTCATAATAGTAACATATATGTGGTAGTTGTAACTGGTACTGGAAAGTTTTTTAGCAGTGGAAATGATTTCACTTCTTTTTTAATAAATGCAGATGGTAATGACCTTGAAAAAACAGTGAGCACAGTCTTCAGGTAATTAGTTTAAGAAAATGTGACTTTGCTCTTATTGATTTGAATAATTATTCGCCAGGGATTTTATTAATATTTTAATCACATATCCTAAGCTTTTAATAGCTGTAATAAATGGCCCAGCCATTGGTGTTGGAGTGACAATGCTAGCATTATTTGATATGGTATATGCATCACACGAGGTAATTTCTAATATGCTAGTGCCTACAATTATTCCACAAATTATAAACTATGTATATTCTACTATAGGCTTATTTCCAAACTCCTTTCACAAGATTAGGTTTGATGGCAGAAGGATGTTCAACATATACATTCCCTAAAATATTCGGCAAGTCGAAGGTATTTAATGTCCATATTGTTATGTATCTCAGCTTCAATATAGCTTATCATTTTTAAATATTCAATAGGCTGGTGATATGTTATACTTGGGCTACAAAATGAATGCACTGGAAGCTAAACAGTATGGCTTTGTTAGTGAGTTATATAAATCTGATCAAATGGATGAAGTTTGGAGATATTTAGAAACTCTGTCTAAACTCTCTTCAGAGGTATAATTTAATATCATTTACCCTGTACATAAAATTATTACATGATCATCTAATCCATGTCTTCTTTCAGTCTATACTGGCAATTAAACGTCTAGTCAATAAATGGGACCAAAAGATTCTATTGGAAGTTAATGCACAAGAATCGATCGAACTATTAGAACGCGTTCAGTCTTCGGACTTCATCGAAAGAGTGAAGAATCTTATGTTTACTAAAAGTAATATGTAAATAGTTTATGGAAAGACAATTTGTTGTAGTTAACGGGAAATAAATATTTTGTTACAGATTTAATCCATCTTTTTTAATATAGAATGTTTCAATATAAAAGTTATATTATCAGATATTTCTGATAACATAATTTCCTGTAAAAAATAATAAAATTACTATTATCGTTATACACTAGTAATGACCAATACATAAATTATTAATATACTTTTCTCACTTGAATTATTTTATCGGGAATCGGCTGCTGATAATGTTCCCATTTCAAAAGCTGATTTATAGTCAGATTTGATTTTGATTCTTCATCTTTTAAGAGGAGCTGATACTCTCTATCATTTTTTTGCTGTGGTTCTTCCAAAGATTCATCCATCTCTGTGTACCCATTACAAGAACACTTCATTAAATCGTGTGTTGAAGAATTCGTATCCGTCGTTAACGTAAATAAATCCTACAAATATTATTCAATGCTTAACATAGAAATGTTCAGAATATCAATATAAGATACCTTTAATTCACTCATGGACAATTTAAGTGAAGCAAAAGACTTTGAGTCTATTATAGTCTCGCTTAAGCCTGCTTTGCTAATTTGCCTTTGAAAAATTTTTTCCTCGATAGTACCTGTTGTCAGTAATCTACGAATTTAATTTACATTAATGTAGCTTTCGTAACATGTTCCTATAGAATATTTACCGTATTATATGAACATCCTTCTTTTGGCCATCCCTCCAAATTCTTGCCATAGCTTGCGAATCAGACGCTGGATTCCAGTCGGAATCAAATAATATAAGCCTGGACGCACCGGGTAAATTCAGTCCAACACCGCCAGCCTTCGCGCTTAATAAAAATACTTCTGTAATAATCGTATTAACTTTGATAAGTATCATTATTAGATACACAAGATGGTTATAAGTTAAATGCTAAATTCTATTTTCATTATACTGACTGCTGCTATCGGTCCGTGAATTAAATCGTTCTACAATCTGCAGTCTTGCGTTACTGGTTGTACTACCGTCCAATCTAAGAAATTCTAAACTTTCCATATTGCAAACATTTTCTAATAAGTCCAATGTTTGTGTATAATATGAAATTAATACTAGTTTCTCATTTGTATTTTTTAAGTTTCTCAATATTGTTCGTACAATCGAAACTTTCCCACAATAGTCTTTCATTGTGATACGTCTTGCATCAGAAATTTTATCTCTCTTCAAATCACTAAGAAGTTCATTCTTGTCGTTGTAAAATAATTCGGGATGATTACAAATTTTTTTAAGAGCTGTTATTACTGTTAAATGCGGTATACTATTATCAGATGAACTTTTGACGAACCAAGAGTCCGTGACTTGGGAATATAAGTCTTTCTGCTCGTCTGACAAACGACAGAATATGATTAATTCATGTTTAGAAGGCAAATATTTATTGATTGTTTCTTGTGTGCGCCTTAATATAAAACATTTCGTTTTCTCTTGCAATTCATTAGCTCTTTCACGCCCAAGGGATACAACTTGAGACGTTGCGTTGGGACACTGTGACGATACAATAGAATTTTCGTAATAACTTTTGAATTCAGAATATTTGCCCAGTATACCAGAATTTACAAAATCAACCAAAGTGAAAAATTCTTGTAAATCGTTTTGTATGGGAGTTCCAGTCAGAAGAATTTTTCTTTTACAATTAAAGCTAGTCAAAATCTGTAAAACAGATACGAATACTATAATAATTACTTAGCAAATAGAATTACATCTTCCTACCTTCGCTGCTTTTATATTACTGTTTTTTAATCTATGGCCTTCATCACATACAATCAAATCAAAATTGATTTGCCCGATTTCTTCTTCACATCTGATAAGCATGTCATAGCTAATGATCATAACTGAATTTCTTATTTGCTTTTTAAAAGCATTTGGTTTATTTTTCCCGTCCACTACATATGGACATATTCTATGAAAACCCAACCAGTTCTTAAACTCTTTATTCCAATTGTTACAAAGACTACTAGGAGTTACTATCAATGCATTCTTCAATATTGGACGTCTATATGGTCCCTTTTTTAGCAGAGTCCAAATGACTGTGATGCACTGTAATGTTTTTCCAAGACCCATATCATCAGCCAAAATCGCTCCAAAATAATTGGGTACTTTCATTCCCATAATACATTCATATAAAAATATAACACCATAACGCTGGTGTGGTCTAAGTATATTTGCCAAACAAGCATCTACAGATACTTCTATTTCATTTTCTGATACAGCATCCTCGGTCCACTCTTTCGATTCACTTATGGAAGGCATTATCAATGACTCATGTCCCAATTTTAAATCTTTAATAGAAAATTCAGATATTCTCTGTACACAGTAAACTATAAAGTCTATTTTTATCCTAAGATATTTTACCTTTATGCAAAGATGCTAATGGAAGACTAGATTTAGAATTGGACGTTTTTAACTTTTTTGGGGGTGGTTCTATAATTTTTTCTTGTTCAGATTTAGTAGGCAGACATTCAGATGTTACTCTATCAATTATCTGTGAACAGTTTTATATAGTTTTAAAATTATAGATAGACTGCCTTTCTTTTAGATACGCATCTATAAATCTGTACATTTATCTCTACCTCAATTTCTTTATTGCTTATGCACATTCTAAATCCCTCTTCAAGAGTTTCTGGATTAACTGTGGTTCTCTGGATAACATTACCTTCTGCATCCTGTTACATATAATAACAACTTTCATAAAAGTAAATTTTAAAAAAATATATATACTTACTTTCAAAACTGCTTGTTTCCCTATGACTTCTAATGTTCCATCATCCTCCCATATCTTATGTTTCCTATTAGATCTTTTGCCTATTACTACATTAAAAGTACTATAAAAAAAATACAATCGTATGTTATTAAACAAATGTAAATTAAAAGAATATTAAATATACATTTTATACATACACTTTATTATTACCAATAATGGGTGAATTTTTAACAGAAGCAATATTGTTTTCATCTTTGATATTTGGAACATTCTCTGTCTGTACTGCTTCATTAGAATCTTTAACAGGTTTCTTAAATAAATTGAGAATTGTCGAAGTATTCCTGACAAAAGTTTGCTCTGCGCTTTTCACACTCTGCTTAAAACTGGTGCTCGGTTTACGATACATGTTTAGTACTTTTATAACGCGTTGTAAGGGTTGTAAGCAATGTTTATATCCATAAATTGTATGAAAAGCTTTTTTAAATGTTCTCGAATATGATCAGTTTACGATTTACGGTACGGATTTTCAAACTGTTTCAAGCTACAGTCAAAGTCGTCGTTCCCGCGCAAAATAGGAATTATCGTGGTGACACAAATTTATTACATCAGTTTTATTTAATTGCAATACGAAAATAAAGATAAATAAGAAAGTAGGTATATATATATGTGTATATATATATATATATATA